GTAGTTTCAAAATCTTAATAAAGCACTAGCGTGACTGCTTAAGTTAAAAAAAAAAAAAAAAAAAAAAAAAAAAAAAAGAATTATTAAAATTGATCTCAACCTTTATATCATATATTATCCTGGTCCTTTTACACTAAGATTACTAAAAATAAAAATATTATGCTAAAAGGATATATTATTCTGCAAAATTTGATAATATCTTTTGATAATAAATGAAATTGACCAATTTTTATTTCATTCAACTCTCTCAATAAGAAGAGGAAAATTGGTTTAATTATTGAACAATTTTTAAAAAAAAAATCTTGTCATTAATATAATAAAGTTATCTTACAATATAATTAATTTTCATCATTTTAATTCCCTTATTAACTTATTAACTTTATTAATATATATCTAAAAATGCATATACTCTAATATAGAATAAATAAGTTATAGTTATTGTCTACTTTGCAGATAATAACTGATTTATTCATAAGTTTTTATTATACTTCCATATTATTTTTAATTAAAGTGTTATATAGTTTAAATTTTATATAAAAGAATTTGATCTAAAAAAAAAGATTGATTTTACAACTTCCATTATATTAAACTTTATTTTTGTATATGAATTAATTGAAACCAATACTATATCAAATATATCAAATAAATATAAAAATGTTAATCAAACTGAAAATAATATTTAATAATATATAAAAAAATTTAAGATTAAAAACACTAATATTTGTACACAAAAATGAGTTTGAATTTTACAAAACTATCATAAAAAAAAATATTTCTTATGATATTCAAATAATAGCAAATTAAGAATAACTTAAACATGAATTATATAAATTTTTTATTGATATTATATAATATAATAGAAAACCTTATAAGATCAAATTAATTATATTAGCTTATACCTTTCTTAAACACTTTTTATTTGAAGTTTCTGTAATTCAAAATGTTAATATTAATAATTAATACTGATTTTTAATTTTATATAAAATTGTTAATAGAAAATATATAAAGTTACAAGATCAAGAACATGATAAAATTGACTAATTAAAAAGATTGATCCAAGAAAAAATATGTCAAATTTTATCATATTTTAATACTGATAATTAAACAGTATTACAACTTATCTAAAAAGTATTTTTCTGGAATGTATATTTATTAGAATTACATAATAGTAATTATTATTAACTCTTATTAAGTTACTTTAATTTTCAATTAGATGAAAGTCTAGTTTTTATAATTGAATATGAGAAAAATAATCAAAATGAACTTAAGAATCAAAACAAATACAAAAAATTTTTTAGTTATCATATATATATTTTATCAGATTTATTTAATAATAAATTTAAGTCTATCTAAGACCTTTGTAATTATATAAATTTACATTCTTCAGATGCATGTGATAAATTTTATTTACAATTAACAAGGAATTTACAAGCAATTCAAGATGAAAATTGGTTTCTTAAAACTAAACTCAATTGACACACATTGACAAATATGATGAATAATATTGCATATGTCTCAAAAATCAATACTAGTAACCAATGAATTACCAATCATTTAGACAAAAAAACTGTCATTCAACTTTTATCAGATCTTAATGTGAATGAATATATAATAATAGAATTTTCAGGTTATCATTCAGTAAATAGACTATGATTTTATAAAGTTTCTAATAATGAACAATAACTTAAAAATACTATATTGTTAATCAATTCAATTCAAGAATCTCAAGTTCAAACTTCAGAATCTCAAGTTCAAATTCAAGAATCTTAAGTTGAAACTCTAAAATCTCAAGTTGAAACTTCAAAACCTCAGGTTCAAACTCCAGAATCTCAAGTTGACACATTCTAGAATCTCAAATTATAACCCAGAAATTTCAAATTTCAACCTATGAAGAATCTTCAACACAAAAAACATTTCAAGTATTGAACTGCAAAAAACCTCAAGTATTGACTGAAAAATCTCAAATCTTAACATGACAAAAAGACATTCAGTTTAAAAAAGGGCTCCAAAACTAACTGAAGAAGAAGTTCAATTGAAATTAACCAGACCATTTCGTTCACCCTTGAGAAAACTTCAAGACCAAATGCAAAACATCGATCAAACACAAAACATCGTAATGGCTAAAGATGGAACTACAAATATAGTTATATTAAACATGCTGTATAAAGTTATATTAAATGCATTGTATAATATATAGCTTTTATGAATTGAAAGTTATTAAAATTATTGCTAAAAAAAGTATCTGGCCTTGTTTGTATGCCAATTAAAATCCCGGATCAGCCCGAATCTGGAATCCGGACAATAACTATGAAAAAATAGTACGGAAGTATAAATAAGAACCGGGGAATAAATACATATGTTTGTGTTCAAATGCACCAGACATTTTCCACATTTTCCTGGCACATGATGATCTACATAAAATTGACTACGTAACTGCTAACGCTGACGCTAATATTTAATAATTTTTGTATAAGAAACTATCATTAGTGCCCGTAATATACCATATTGATATACTTGCCATCACCGAACCATAACAGGAGGGAACGTTGATGTTACACAATTGATTTTACACTCGGTGTGAAACACAAAAAAATTTTTTTATGTGTTTCACACCGTGTGTAAAATCAATTGTGTAACATCAACGTTCCCTCCTGTTCCGAACCATAGCATCTGCACAAACCCAATTATTGGCAGATTTTCACATGATCGAAAAACTTTTACATCCCGAATCTTTCGTTTGCGCTCCAAGTTCAGATTTGGGGTGAGAATTTGGCCTAAATTATACTAATTCTAAATGCCATAAATAACCATAACGATAAAACCCTAATTCCGCCAAAATAATCTAAAAATTTCTCCGATTCTAAATGTGAATCGAGATTTCGATCCTGGTACAACATACTTACGTAGTCATGATATAATAATTTTTGTATGTAACTAAATTAAGAAATTTATGGTTAATTTTGTTTTTGATCATCATTGATAAAGAAAAAATATTTACTTTATGATAATAATGATGCAACTATATCAACTAGCCAATATTCCATATCGTAATAGTAATTACAACAATCTTACGCAATTGTCTTATTTTATATATATATATAATATACAAAAAGTAATTCTTACTAGTTACTTTTTGAATAAACTGTAAAAAAAAAAAAAAACCTTGATTTCATACCATTATCGAAAGTACTTTTAAATAAATCCTACATCCTGGCTTTTAAAAAGAAAAGTTTCGTAACCTTTATAAAAAAGTCCTTTAAAAAATTGTCGTCTAAACTTAAACGACTGACTAAAAAAAGAAAGTGGCCAAGAACATCAAGATCAAGAAAACGATTCTAGTCGCGAATGGCTCTCACATTTTCTGATATTTTTAAAATAATTTTTGCCATTATATTTCCACCTCTTGGTGTTGCACTTGAACGTGGATGTGGCCAAGATTTATTGATTAATGTACTGTTAACATTGCTTGGATACATTCCTGGTAATATATCTATCTATATTTTTTATTTATTGTTTGATGTTAAAAAAATTAAATTATAATTTATTTATTTTAATTTGACGTTAGGAATTATTCATGCCTTATATATAATTGTCAGATATTAACAATGCCGGGTCTTTAATAAATCACTAAAAGGACGATACTGTAATAAGAATGCATAAATGAAATTATTATTGCGAATTAAATCATGGTTTGATAATAGCACATTACGTATAGTGCAACTCATCTGCTTATAATTATATGCTGTTTTTTTTTTTTAACTTACTGTATACATTCATCTATAACTCTGACCTGATAATTTATAATAATGAATTTAAATAAATAATAAGCTGCGAATTAATTAAAGAACTAAGGTTTATTTATTTTCAAGCTCCCTCGTTCGATAGGATAGAACTCAATCGCTTAGAGTTACGGATTTCTTGAATTCGCTGTATTTGATGTTGTTATAAAATATTTTTTATAATTATAATAAAAGAAATTCATTATCGTTATTATTATTGATCACTTCTAAACATTACATGCATTGGATGCTTTTAAGAGACACGAGAGTTTTTTTTTTAATTAATTAGTAATGTCTATCATGTGTCCTTAGCTATCTAATAACTGGTTCCTTGCATAAACATGTAAAGGACCCGTGATAAAAACCAAATCCCAAAATAAGATCTCATTTAACTTTTCATAGAGTGCTGTTATCACGCAACGTGACAATTTATATTGCATTAGGTGTATGTGATGTCAGCTAACTGTCTGTCGGTAAAGTAAGTAAAGCGGAACCGTTCACAAAGCGCTACGTACGGTATCACCACGAAGATTAGTCAACAAATTTCTACGTTTATCTACAAAAGTCTAATAGAAAGCATATACATATCCACCAGTAAATGTGTATTGAAGTCAAACTTGACTAGATACAATTATATCGTTATTTATAACTAATTCAATTTTTGATTTTTGTATTTTTTTATTGCCACTGATAGTTTAAGGTGTTGACTCATAATAGTTGTCTCGATTAAACCAATACCAGATTGCTTTAGAAATACACTGAATATAGAAATTTCTTAAAAAAAAATCTCACCTGGATAGTAAATATAGTCAAAAAGAATTTTTTTACAGCTGTCGGTTAAGTTATTGATGTTAACATAATTGGTATATAAAAATATATAAGGAATAGACTAGAAAACCACTGTTTGCCACTTACTTTCAAATACTTGTTCTCTAAATTATAATGCCGAGACATTTGACATAAATTGTGCATTTAGTTTGCACAAAATTTATAGAAAAAAACTGTTCTTGACAACTAATGATGTTTTACCAGAAATCTAAAGAGTCAATAGAAATTAGATTTTATAATAAACATATTAAATGAATAGGTGCTAATATTAAAAAAAGCTAGTCATGTAATCATGAATTTGTCGACTAGTTTAAAATATAATACGATTCTGTTGAAAAGTGCTTGAGATCTCGATTAATTAAAAATCCTTTTAAAAAAAGTTTTAATGTTTTGAATTATAAAAAACCTTTACTAATTGGTGGGTGTGTTTGGCTTGCGGTAAAATCTTCTACAATCTTTTCTGAAAATTTCTTTTCATACTTGCTTTCTTCATTATTAAAAAAGTTTCGACAATTGCATCTTCTGAATCGAAGTGAAATCCATGAAATGCTGACCTCTTTAAAAAAAGCTTTAATGTTTTGAATTATAAAAACCTTTACTAATTGGTGTGTTTGTGGCAAAATCTTGTACAATCTTTTCGGAAAAATTCTCTTCATGATGCTTTCATGAGTATTCTTTGTTTTCGATATGTATCTTTATTTTTTTTTTTGTTTGTTCCGTAATTCTACAATTGCATCTTGTCCTGAATCAAAGAAGGAAAAAATATATATTCTACTGATAAAGAAGAGGAATCATGGATATTTTTCCAACTTGTTGAATGTTAATTGTATTTATAGTACTATTATTGAGATGATTTTTAACCTTGATTTCGAATGTAATATCATAGATGATATATATGTGTATTTAAATTATTTTGTTCTTGGTGTAAATCTAGACTACCAATATTATTTTTGACTGTCTAAAACGTAAAAATAATTTATTGATGCAGACCATAAGATCGAGTGTAACGTGAAATCAAAACAGCTAAAATGAACATATAGTTAGGGTTAGCATTAGATAAGGTTAGGATAGATACTCACATACAGTAATATCAATGTCTTTAACAAGCGGACGAAAATAATTTCAGCAAATAGAAATTTTCCAGATAAAAATTAAATTTCGTCATACAGTATTTTGAAGTATTAAAAACATTTCACTATACTGTCAGCATTTAGATATCTCATCAATATATTTTTACCACGAATTATCTTTTCTCACGAATAGTGTTTCAAGCATAACACCCAAAATTTATATTCAGCATTATATGAATTTTTAGGTGATTTATTATGAAATTTTATTATATTAAATTATATATATTTAAACTCCATACATAACTGATTTGGGTGGTTATGCTTTGTTTGTCAGTGTTGCCAACTCAATTAATTTAAACGCTAAAATAATTTACTTAACAAAAATATTTAGTAATAGGAAAATGTTTTTTGTGCACCTCGCATTGGGTTGTTCTGTATACTATGTAAATCAAACTACTATCATATAAAAATCTATTATCAAAGATTTTCGTGTAACCATAGATAATATTGATGTATAACAAATTTATTAAATAAATCATAAAATAAAAATATATTACATCAATAAAAAATAAATAAACATTAATATTTAATTTATTAGCAGAATAAATTATTGAAAACATTTGAAGCAGCATTAGGCCCAAACTGCGGTGAATATGTTTCTTGAAGAGGAACCTTTTTTTTTGTTTTTATTTCTTTTAACCCCTCTAATAAATTTTCTTTACCAATTTTACTTGAGGACAAACGAAGCTTAGATTGTTTTGTTGATAATAACATATTTAAATGTGTTTTCAGATTTAATTTGTTAAATAATTCTTTGATTTGTTGTTAATGTATAATAATACAAATGAATCTGAGTTTTGATAAAATAATATAGTTCAAAAAAAATTATATATTTCTAATTTATTATTTATATAAAACTCTTCAAATTTGTAGAAAAAATTATCATCTTGTAATAGCAATTTATGCAAACACAAGGTGCTCATCTTTTTATTTCTTAAATCATCTTCTAATTCTTTTGCAAAATGTAATTCTAAATTATTTGGTAGTTTAATCCAAGGTTTTTTTAAAATAATATAGTAAAAGTTAGAAGCAAATAAGTTAACATTATTATTATTAAGATGATAGACAACTAATGACAAATGAAGTCAAAATGATAACTATTTTTCAAAATAATTCAATGCTTTTAATATTATTTTTTCTAAATTTTCAAATAATATTTTAAACTTTTTATTATTTAATACATCTAATGCTTCTAGTAATTTACTAGCAAAAAACATAATTTTTAGCTATTTTCTAAAAAAATTTAAGTCACATATAAATTTTATCAAACATTTCATAAACCTAACAATTTGAAAGTAATGTAACAAATTAACTATTTTGGTAAATACATAAAACCTTATTCTGTTCAATTCTAAACTATATTAATAACTTATAAAAATGTTTAATAAAGTTTATTAAACAATTTATTTGAATATTTAGTTTCAAATCAAGAAGTCAAGAATGAAATAAATATTAATTAT